TTATCTACATCTTTCTTTAAAATGCATTGCTTAAAACTGGACATGCCAATCTGGATTAGGCCTTGCCAGTGCTGTTCCGTGTTTTATATAATTTTCCTTTGCAATAATTTTCAGATTTCTTTTTTCTTTTTTTTTCCCCATTGGTGTCAAACTTGTTAAGTGTATCAACACCACTGCCCTTGCAGCCTGTTTTTGTTGGTTTTTCCCCTCCCTGTACCTAATCAGTTATTTTCTCATTTGGTATTTGTCATTCAGCATGTCTTTGCTGAAGTGAAATATTTCACACTTGTCTTTGGTGTCAGCTGCAGGTTTTACAGGTATGTGATCCTTTGCTGATAGCATAATCCATTAATATATTGAATAAAATAGTCTAGACAGACCATTTTATAATTTCGTGTAAGAAAATCTCCCAGTTTGATGGAAAGCCATTAATAATTACTCTGTGAAAGCCTGGCTTTTTTTTAATTGGTAACCAGTTTTGTATCTGCAGTCATAGATAATCTACCCTATATTGAATCCACTGATGTAAGGCAATCTTCTGATAGAATTTCGAATGTTAAAGAGAAGGCTTTCTCTCTAGAAAAACAAATTTCTTTTCACAAGTCATTATGATATAAATGGCCAAAAGTTTAACTAGGATTATTTTTCCAACATTGTAGTCCTTGGAGCATGGCTAAAAAGGCTAGGAAGTCCTCAAATACAAGCACTTGTTTATTCTTCTGTTTTGGTACCCTCAGCAGAAGCAGTCTCTTTTCTTGAAAATTCCCTTTTGAGCATTTAAAAAAAAAATAAAAAGCAATATACTCTCCTTAATTACGTGTGCATATATAAATTTTCAGTGTGAAGCAGAATTGCTGTTTATTATTTACATGCTATGCACAAACCATTCATGAATATGGTAGAAAAATAATTCATAGCTATTTCAGCATCAGTACTCATCCTAGAAGTGGACTGCTTCATCCATGCAGCATTTAGTGTTTTAACATCTCTCCTTCACAAAATATTAATGTCTTATTAATTTAATAAGGAACAGTCTTCTGTCCATGAATCTCAAAGCTCTTTGAGTATTCAGTAACTTAGTTGTAACAGGATTACTGCATCAGTAAGGCTGATATTTTAAGAGCTTAAAATGACTCTGACTTGGAATTAACACTTCTGATTTTTTTCATCTACTCATGTTACGTGCAACACCTACAGTCGCTATTACCTCCTACAATTGTAGGCACTTCATTCTCCGATTGCTCGGATTCTGCGGAGAGGCCAGTGCAGTCGGAATGGGTTAGTCCAGCTGTGTTGTTCCACACACCTGAGCTCCCCCGGCTCTCTGTATGCTGCATTGCACAGTACGGTGTAAACATGCTTTAATTAGCTGTCTTTCTGCAACACTCATCAACGCCTGATTATTTAACCAACCATTTTCAGGTGCATGGAAGTTGTGGATGTAGGTGGAATTGTACCTTTCCTTGTTAAAACATAGCATGAAATATCTACCTCCTAAATAAAAGTGAAGGAGACGTAGGAGTCAGGGCATATTATATGGCATACCAGCTGAGTCGGATAAAAGCAAGCTGTCTTTTGCAGCTGCGTTTAGGAGTCGCAGCCAGAAAGAAAAGCTTCTCTTTCACATATCCACTAGAAAGTAGAAATTGTTCAGAGCTTTTCTATGAGAATGATGCTGGACCAAATTCAACCCAGCTATAAGAAGTCTCCGCTTCCACGGGAAGCTGTGCTTGGCCCAGGGGCCTTATTCATTAGAATACTGTTCCTCTTTTACAAGTACTGGGCAAATAGAGTCCCAGAGACTCTGTCAATACAGTTGGAGGACAAATAAACCACTGTATTGATTTTGACATAAATCCAAAGTAATATCTCTCTGCTGTTAAGAGAAACCTTATAGCTTGGAAAAGAACTCATTGAAATAGTGGCTTAATAAAAGCAGGTAGTTAAATTAGCGAAAATCTAATTGCAGTGTCTGCTCAGTTTGGTTATCCATGGAAATAAATCCTAATAATAGTCTAGAATAATATTTTCTTGTTTGGTTTAGGAATAGTGGGAATTTATATTTCATAGGAGGGCATTGGTATATATCTCTCTCCCTATGTCATACTCCATGGAGCATCTGGGCATATGTTGTTCCATGACAGAGTCTTACCAGTTTTATCATAGAATCATAGAATGGTTAGGGTTGGAAGGGACCTTAAAGATCATCTAGTTCCACCCCCCCTGCCATGGGCAGGGAAACCCTCCACTACACCAGGTTGCCCAAAGCCTCATCCAGCCTGGCCTTGAACACCTCCAGGGATGGGGCATCCACAGCTTCTCTGGGCAACCTGTTCCAGTACCTCACCACCCTCAATGCAAAAAATTTCTTTCTTATATCTAACCCAAATCTGCCCTCTTTCCATTTAAATCCATTGCCCCTTGTCCTATCACTACATGCCCTTGTAAAAAGTCCCTCTCCAGCTTTCCTGTAGGCCCCCTTCAGGTACTGGAAAGCTGCTATAAGATCACCCCAGAGCCTTCTGTTCTCCAGGCTGAACAGCCCCAACTCTCTCAGCCTGTCTTCATAGCAGAGGTGCTCCAGCCCTCGGATCATCTTCGTGGCCCTCCTCTGGACTCGTTCCAGTAGCTCCATGTCCTTCTTGTGTTGGGGACTCCAGATCTGAACACAGTATTCCAGGTGGGGTCTCACGAGAGCAGAGCAGAGAGGCAGAATCATTTCCCTTGACCTGCTGGCCACACTTCTTTTGATGCAGCCCAGGATACGATTTGCTTTCTGGGCTGCCAGCGCACATTGCCGGCTCATGTTGAGCTTCTCATCCACCAGCACTCCCAAGTCCTTTTCCTCAGGGCTGCTCTCGATCCATTCTCTGCCCAGCCTGTACTTGTGCTTGGGATTGTCCCGACCCACATGCAGGACCTTGCACTTGGCCTTGTTGAACTTCATGAGGTTCTCACAGGCCCACCTCTCAAGCCTGTCAAGGTCCCTCTGGATGGCATCCCTTCCCTCCAGCATGTCCACCACACCACACAACTTGGTGTCATCTGCAAACTTGCTGAGGGTGCACTCAATCCCACTGTCCATGTCTCCAACAAAGATGTTAAATAGCACTGGTCCCAGTACTGACCCCTGAGGAACACCACTCGTCACTGGCCTCCACGTGGACATTGAACCGTTGACCACAACTCTTTGAGAGCGACCATCCAGCCGATTCCTTATCCATCGAGTGGTCCATCCATCAAAACCACGTTTTTCCAGTTTAGAGATAAGGATGTCGTGTGAGGGGTTGAAGCTCAGGTGTTGGTCTGCAGGTGGATTGCTGCTCTGTTTGTATTGGAACACTTGCGGTGTTCTTGGAATGGCTCTTCTACTAATTTCAGTAATTTTTTTTTTCTGCATCTAAAAAGAAATTAACTGCACCATCTTCCAGGACAGGAGTCTTTCTGAGAAGTGGTTGGGCAGATGAACTGCTTTGTCTGTTTGGATGATGTTGATAGGTTCTCAACTTGTATGCACCCAAGTGCTTTTATGAGCCATTGGTCTCTAGGGTGGACTGGGTAATCTTCCGCTGTTCTTGATTGTCTCTGTGAATCAACAGAAACAAGAATTAGATTGTATGACGTAGGATTTCTTTCATTTTGTATGTGTGATTACTTTTACTGGTGCTTTAGTATCTTCATTGCTTCATTATTTTTTTTCTTCTTTCCTTTCCTGATACAGAGAAATTCTCATTGGGTCCTCAAGGAACATTTTGCCACTTGAATAATATTTAATAAAAATTGGTTATATGTCCACCAGGGTGCAGTCTTTCCCCAAAAAAAAAAGCCATGGTGGTCAGTGACTGTTCAGTGCACCTGTTCCTTGGAAACTTGATGAGTGAGTTTGTCTGTCTTATTCTCTTAAGGTCATGCTATCCACTGCAGGAGAAATGGAGAAAAACTGTAAGATATGTATATTAAAATAAGAACCTCATTATCAAACATTGTAAATATCCTGAATAGCTATAAAATGGTGATACATTTTAGAAATTATTTAAAAGAGTAAATGCAGCAATTTTTGGTCTTGTTTTTTTTAACAAGACTCAATAACTGTAATCAGGAAATGAAGATGCGAATATTTAATTCTTTTAAAATTAAAGGACATTGGTGCTGCTTCTGGTACCATTCATGTTAGTCAAAGCAACTACTTTCAAGTTGAAGGAAGAAGCTTTCTCAACTCCGGCAGGAGGAGGATGAAATAATTTCTGCTGGAGGAGACAGAATATGCACAAAGCCCTAGAAAACTTCAGATGCTTTCCACTTTTTCTCCATCTCTGTCCTCTCCCTTCCGGCTGCTGCCATCCCAGGACTACCAGAGATGAGTAGCACTCACTTTGACACAGCGGAGGTAGTGGGTAGGGAGGGGGCTGCGGGGTCAGAGGCTGCTGCTGAAGCTGGAGGGCTCTCTGTGTGCAGCAGCGACAGGCTGGTTTCGGCGTGACTTACTGGCTTCGCAAACCAAAGAACAGTGTCCTGAACTAAAGCAGCATCTGTGTAAAAATCACATGTCACTAGCATAAAATTTTGAGCTAGTCTTTCACTTATGTCATGTTAGAAAAAGAAGAGGTTGCTGTGGCGTTTCAAAATCTAATGTTTGTCTTACAGCAAACTGGTCTGAATTGAGTGTTGACCTCACTTGGAGCAGGGTGTTGGGCCAGGGGTCTCCTGAGGTCCTTTTCCACCAGAAGGATTCTTTGACTTTACTCCCTGTGACTACCCTCCCTTTATGTCTTACGTTGCCTGTTATATTTATTATTATAAGGACCTCATGGTAATACTTTGTAGTAATCTTAATACTGAGGCCAAGTGAAAAGTGGATGGAATTTCAGAGTATCAACCCTTCCTCATCCTAGCTCATTGAGAGCCAACAGTAAAAAATTGCCGGGGAGGGGGAAGTAATAAAAGTTGTACAAAACTAAAAAGCTTGAAATAACAGTATTTTATTTCTCCTCTTGTTCTAGGTTATGCATTAGATCCCTCTATAGATAACCCTGAAGTTGCTACCAAATATATTGGTTCTGTAGAAGAAGCTGAAAAAAATCAAGGTAATTAGTTTGGAATCTCGTATAAATGACTTGCAACTGATGACTGTTTCCATTTCTTCTTTACTAAGAAATGGAATAGGTATTGACAAAGGAAGGAATTATGAGAGGCTTACTCATGTCCAAAGACACGATAAAAAAGATGTGTTGCAGTTGTAACATGAAGAGGGAAGAGAGATACTGAAGTGCTTTGTTTTCCTGAAGTAGCAAATATTTCGGGCTGTCATTATGTTAAATTTCAAATTAGGGTTTGCAATTGGAGCCTAGTATATGCCATTATGTGGATAGAATTGATCTGTATGTTTGAAACACCTTTTTGGTCCTCTTAAATTCTCTCTTAGCTAAAATCATTGTACATCTGCGTTAGGACACCTGTATGTTGAGCTAATCACCCTAACTGTGCTACTGAGTAGCAAACTGATCACTCTGGATGCAACCTGTCACATGCCTATTGGGATTGCATGTTATCTCTGCTTAGCAGAGTTAATCTGTTCGGGTTATTTGGAAAAGAAAAACCATTGGAAGGTTGCCAAATGGTAAAGGCATAGCGTGCCACTGGGAGGAGTGACTACGACTACCAGAGGCGTGGGGTTTGTAATTAATACTTTGATACAAGATATTTAACACTTCAAGTGAGTTATTTGCATTGGAAAATTGTACCTGTGTAAACTTTACAGTTATACTTTCCCTCGCGTGTCTTTTTCTGACATCTTATTCACATGTTTATACAAAGGTTTTTTATTTCTGTGTCCTCTTCCATGGAATATATCCAAGGTTATTTCATTCTTTCCTTCAAAAGTAAGATAAAGAAAATATTCTGTAGCAAGTACAGGCATTAGACAGAAATGGCTAAGATTAAATCATTTAAAAAATTAAAAAAAAAAATACCGAAATTCCATTATGAAAAGGGTTTTAAGAAAACACTTGATTAATGTATGATTCTTTCATATGATCATTAATTTTTATGTTGCTTATTTCTCCTTGCTTAAACAAAGGTCTTTTTGGCTCCTCACCACTAGATGAGTATTACTGATACTGTAGGAAAACGTTTGAAAATTGCACATATCTGTATCTAGAACCTTTTGAAAAACTTTGAAGTCATTAGTTTAACATCTTTTAACTTTTTTTTTTTCATGCCGTATCTATATTATTTAATGGTTTTGACAAATGAAATTCTGAGGGCACAGCATTTGTGAAAAGCTAGCATTTCTATGAAAGAACAAGTTAGTGGTTGGAGGTAGATGACTGTGCCAACAAGGACAGACTTTTTAATAGGGCCTGTAGCAATAGGACAAGGGGCAATGGCTTTAAACTAAAAGAAGGTAGAATAAGACTAGATATAAAGAATAAATTTTTTACAGTGAGGGTGGTGAAGCACTGAACAGGTTGCCCAGAGAGGTGGTAGATGCCCCATCCCTGGAAACATTCAAGGTCAGGTTGGATGTGACTCTTGAGCAACCTGATCTAGTTGAAGATGTCCCTGTTCGTTGCAGAGGAGTTGGACTAGGTGGCCTTTAAAGGTCTCTTCCAACCCAAACCATTCTATGATTCTATGACTTTTTACTACATTAAAATACACAGTTGTGGTTTCAGAAGACTTGTTTTATTTTTTTTTGGGGGGGGGGTTAGAAACTGAGAGGTGAGAGGGATCAGAATCCAATTGTTAGGACCAATTGTTTTTCAATGTGCTATTTAAAGTATGAAAATTGATGTATTCATACAGTCTGCAGACTTACTGTTAAAAACGCATGGATGCATGCATGGTTAAATACTCTAACAATGACACACGGTTTAAGTGGTTTCTCTGTTACTGTACATAGTTAGCAGTGTTCATAGTTAGAAAGTTCAGCAATGATTTGACTAATTTTGCTGTGTGCATTGGAAGGAGTGGTGGTGACTTTCACTTTTAAACTGACTATGATGCAACCTATGACGTTGTATTCTGCATTAGCAGCCAGGCGGTGTATTGTTTTTTTTCTTCAGGTTTAACAGTGTTTGAAACAGGACAAAGGAAAATTGAAAAAAGGAAGAAATTCAAGGAGAATGATGCATCTAATATTGATGGTTTTCTGGGACCATGGGCAAAGTATGTTGATGAAAAAGAAGTAGCCAAACCATCAGAAGTAAGTACTACTTTAACACAATAGATACAAATTTTTAGTACATTGCAGTGGTCTTGACAGAGATCCAGCTGCATTAGTAGTTTGTCCAAGCAGAAGATCCATGCTGTGCTTTAGGGTGATACAAACATTTCAGGTGATATGTCTGAATAAGGTGTTCCAAATATTCTGCATTCAATTATTTGTAAGACTATTTAGAAATAAAATTCATTGTATCTGTGTGTAGTGTGTAGAGTCTGATTAAAAGATAACAGAAGCAGCTTGAAAAGAACTGAAAGTAAAATGTGTTTAAAAAAGAAAAAAACAGCCGAACAAACCCAACAGTAACACACACCCCTTTGAACCATCCAACCAACAAACATCCTTCTTGTTCAGTCAGTGATGCTTAGCTGTAGTCTATGAATAAAAAAATAGTATTTAATTCTTCTCAGTGTACATAGCTTATCAAACTATTCTGGTTTTGATAAAGGTATTCTCTTTACTGATGCTTAAAAATATTTCTAATTTCATTTAGCAAATAAATGTGATCTTAATAGTAAGTAAACAGTAGTCCAGTCCTGGATTTTGTTACATGATTCTGAACGCTGAATTTTTAAAAGTCAAGATCATGTTTTATTTTTCCAGGAAGAACAGAAAGAGTTGGATGAAATAACAGCTAAGAGGCAGAAGAGAGGAAAAGTAGAAGATGATAAACCTGGAGAGGAGAAGACTATATTACATGGTAATGGCATCTTCCTGCCTGTTCTCATTTTCTTGCTCACTGTGTTTTCTTGCCTACTGTGTTAATTAGTAAGGATGGCAGACAGCCTCAGCGCTTTTGCTGAGGCACCTCCATGTTTCTGTATTGGAGATAATAGCGCTCACAGGCATAAGCATAAAGGACAG